ACGGGGCCCAAGGATGAGGGTTGGTGGCCACACTATCCAGGAACAATGTCCAACCCCCCGGCTGGTCACCTCCAGGGAAGTTCTCCCACTGCCATTGCCGCTGAGCTCAGACGTCTGTCCTGGCTCCCGAGGCCGATTGGAGGCTGGGCCGCAGGACCCTGGCCCACCTGCCCCTCTGTGGAGTCCTCAGGAAGAAGTGGATTTTCCCATATGCTCGCCTCAGCCAATCATTGCTCTCTTCCAAATCAACGTTTCCTACGAGTGCGTCTGATTGGTGGAGCCTGAGTCACATGCCTGCCCTGAGGCGCAGGGAAGCTGGGAAAGCGAGTTATGACTTCTGTGTCAGGGAGGCAGGTCTCATAGGGAGGGAAATTTTCCACATTTGGGACGGGAATTCCGAAGTCTAGGCAGGACAACAGGACCATAGCCACTGCCGCCTTCTCCTATACAACAGACTGTTTTCTTCTCTGCGTGTCCGACACAGAGCAGAGGCTCAAGACACGAGTGCCTCTTCCCCGGCCATGCTTCCCTGCTGGGGCTCATGTGAGGCTTTCTGCTCGGGCTCCTGTGCTTGGAATTTCCTTCCAGCAACCGTGTCAGCGTCACCAGCGCTGAGAAAGGGAGGACGACCAAATTAACACGCAGCCGTTTGCCTTGCTCAGCTGCAGCCGCTGGTCTCTAACACGGATACATGCACGTATGCAAGTGGATTTCAAAGATGCTAGTCTCTAAAGCAAAGCTGGGTGCGGACAGTCACTATTATGTCAGGATCTTACAGTCCCTCACCCAGCGGATGCTGAAAGAGTGTATCTGTTTTGCCTGATTTCCACCTCATGTGCCTACTTATGCTTTTTTCAAGAAACACATTGAATAATTTAGAAGCAATAAGGGAAGTTTTTGTATAAAAAAATTAAAAACATTTGCAGGACAAAAACATTAAGAATTAAAGTGATAAATGTTACCCTTGGAAAATATTTGGAATTTAAAACACAATATTTACAAGGTGTTGTTCTTAATATATACATTTCTATAGAGTGTCCCAAAGTCATAGGAGAAAGAAAAACCCCAAGGAAAGAAAAATGAGCCAAGAAACAACTAAGCAAGTCACAGAAAAAGAAAAATCTAAATTGTATGAAAGATACATCGCCTTGCTGATACGAGAAAGCTAAATTATCTTTAAAACGACTTTAGCTTAAAGCTTATAACCAGATGCAGTAACAAGGACCAGATTTACCCTCTCACTTGGATAATAATAATAAAAAAATAGACAAAAGGTCCACAACAGTCGCTTTCAAGACATGGAGCATCATGAAGGACAGGGACCCTGAGAGGCGGACACAAATGAGGTGAGGCCCACAGCTGTGCACTTCCTGCCCAGGAGGCCTCCTAGGCCCTGTTGAGGGGAGGGGAGCGGGGAGCCCGGGGCTCCCAGGGGTAAGGCCACGCGGATGAGAAATTAGAGTCCAGGTGGCCAGAGACTGCCAGGCAGAGTGTGGGAGAGGACAGGACTGCAGGGCAGGACGCAGAGTCCTGCAAAGGGCCGCCCTCCACCATCCGGGAGACCACGGTCAGCACATGTGTGAGAGAACACAGTGCGGAGGCCAAGGAGAGAGCCCTCCAAAGGTGCAAACTGGAAACCCTTGTTGGTCAAGAGCATTGTCTCAATAATCCTATATAAAAGATTTATTAATTTAAAAAAAAAAAAAAAAAAGAGAGATGTCCGACTGCCGGTCATCCCCCGAGGGGTCCCAGGGGCAATCAGGCAGGCAGGCAGAGTGGTTAGGGGTGATCAGGCAGGCAGGTGAGCAGTTAGGGACATCAGGCAGGCAGGCAGAGTGGTTAGGGGCGATCAGGCAGGCAGGCAGCAGGCAGAAGCGGTTAGGGGCAATCAGGCAGGCGAACGGTTAGGAACCAGCAGTCCTGGATTGTAAGAGAGATGTCCAATGCAGAAGTGGTTAGGGGCAATCAGGCAAGCGAACGGTTAGGAGCCAGCAGTCCCGGTTTGTAAGAGAGATGTCCGACTGCCGGTCATCCCCCAAGGGGTCCCAGATGGGAGAGGGTGCAGGCTGAGCTGAGGGACACCCCCACCCCCATGCATGAATTTCATGCACTGGGCCTCTAGTGGGTCATAATGGTCATAGACTAGACACTGCCCTGGTCCCAGCTCACGACCTGACAAACCACACTCCAACGGATCAACACATTTCTAAGTGCGTCCCTGCACCCCAGGGCACAGCTCAAGGCTATTTATAAGAAATACAAATATATCGGCTCCTAACATGCTCATTGGCATTCAATTAAGAAATCCCAGGCATGTACAGAAGCAGAAAATATGACGCAGAAGGAGGAGGGGTCACCGACGAAACCGAACCCAGGGCTGACACTATGGAAATCTGTGGGCTGTCGCGAACACATTTCCTTGAGGGACATTTATAGCACGAAGTGTCTGTGTCAGAAAAGAAGACGGATCTCAAGTCTATGACCTCAGATTCCCCCTTAAGAAACTTGGAAGCAAAGAGGAAATTAAACCTGCAGTGCATTGAAGAAAGAACATAAGGAAGATAGGAGCAGAGATCAATAAGAGGAAAAACAGTGGAGAAAGCCAATGAAACTGGAAGCTGGTTCTTTGAAAAGATAAATAAAATGGATAAGCCTCCAGCCAGGTTAATCAGTAAAAACCGTAACCGACGAACACAGATTATGGAGACCAGGACAAGAGCAACGGTATCGCTACAGATTCCACGGAAATGAAAGGGGGACAAGGAAACGCTGTGCACAGCTTTATGCCAATAAAGAACAGCTTAGACGACATGGAAACATTCCCTAAAAGACAGGAACTACTAAAGAGCATTCAAAAAGAAAAGGTAACCTGACACATTCTATATCCTTAAAGAAATGGAATTTTTAGTTGAAAGCCTTCCATTAATGAGACCTCCAGGCACCAAAATCCGCTGGTGAAATTGACCAATATTTAAGGAAAAAATAATTCCGATTCTCCTCATACTCTTCCAGAAAAGTGAAGTCCTAATAAATATTCCAACTCATTTTATGAGGCCAACACCTTGATTCCAAAACCCAAAAGACATTTACAAGAAGAGACTACAGACCAATATTCCTCATGAACTTAGACGCAAAAGTTAGCAAAGTTCTAGCAAATAGAAATCAATAATGTATTTAAAAAGGATAGTACATCAAGACCAAGCTGGGTTTATCACAAGAACAGAACATTGATTTAATATTTTACAAAATCAACCAATGTAACTCATCCTATAAAAGAATAAGAAAACCACATGATCATCTCAATAGACGAAAACCAGGCAGACTGGAAAATCTTGTAGGTCAAGGTTTTCATTTGACCAAATCCAACATTAATTCCTGATTAATCCCATAGCCGTAGTTTGCCCACGGCTGACCTATACCAACATCAGACTTAATGGCGCTAACAACGTCTATTACACATTGGACTGGACACTAGCCAGTGCAATAAGGCAAGCTAAAAAAAAAAGTGTCCAGGTTGGAAAAGATAAAAACTGTCTTTACTCAAAGACTCCAGGATTGTCTAACTGGAAAAACTGAGGAAATGTATAAAAAAGCCACTAAATCCAATGAGTGACTTTAGCAAGCTTGCAGAATACAAGCAAAAACCAATTGTATTTCTATACGCTCTCCATGGAAAAAACCAACAATCCAATTTTAAAAAGCAATATGATACACAATAGTATTAAAATAGTTGAGACTTAGGATTGCGCTTCTATGTGGGAGAGAAAACTGAAACCTGTGGACACAAAGAGCAGTGTGGCGGCTGTGAGAGGGAAGGGCTGGGTGGGGGTGGAGGGGGCCGCATACACCGCGGCGGATGATTGGACTTTGGGTGGTATAGCAGATGATATACAGGACGATACACAGATGCTGTATCGTAGAACTGTACACTTGAAACCGACATGATCCTATGAACCGTCACCTCATACATTTAATAAAAAATACTTGATACTAATGGGTAGACCTGCCAAAAGGCCACTGAAAACTATAAGCATCACAATTTGCACCTGAGCAGTAACCGTGGCCATTGATGCACACACAGTCTGTCCACAAAGACAGGTCACCTGTTGCCTGGAAACACACCCCCCCACCCAGGTCCCTGTCCACCGCGCCACACGGATACTGACTCTGACGGGAACTGCACGGAAGGCCTGGCCTTCACGCCGCCAGAGGAAATGGACGTCTTGGGCAGATGAGGGTTTGAAGTTGGGAGACCCGGGTTCAAAACCAGGCCTCCTCCCTCACAGGGGGTGTGACTGCAGGCAAGACTTGCCCTCCGAGTCAGTTGCCCTGGCTGTGCTGGGGCAGGGCCACCTCCTTGCTGGGGGCAGAGAGGGGTGCGAAGTGGGCGTGGCAGCTGGGAGGGCCCAGCCGCTCACAGGGAACAGGTGCTTCCTCAGAGCCCTCGCCTTGGCTTCGCTGGGGACGGATTCCTTCCCAATCACTTCCTACCCGCAGGAAGGGCCCATGGTGATCGCCTTTGCCTGGCTCGCGGGGATGCTCACCCCACGGTCTGGTCCAGCCCCTATGAGGCCTCAGGGGCCCCAGGTGCTGCTGTGAGGACTGGATTCCCTCATTTGTAAAGAGGAGAAAGGGCTCACCCGTGTGGCTCAGTGGTTGAGCGTCGACCTATGAACCAGGAGGTCATGGTTTGACTCCCGGTCAGGGCACGTGCCCGGGTTTCGGGCTCTGTCCCCAGTGTGGGGCATGCAGGAGGCAGCCAGTCAATGATTCTCTCTCATCATTGAGGTTTCTCTCTCTCTCTCCCTTCCTCTTTGAAATCAATAAAAATATATTTTTGAATAAAGAGGGAAAAGTAACTCTGATTTGAATTGGAGACGTTTCCTGGCCACTGGAACGAGAGGGCAAATCGCTGTGGGACAGATCGCGTGGCCGAAACGCAGACGCAGTGAAAATGGGCGTTCCCACCTACAGCGAAAAGGAGTTGCGCTGAGAAGAGCTTTGTGTAAAATACATTTATTCTTGAAAATTCCCTTGACAAACACAGAATATGTAAGAAGAGAGAGCCTTGCCTTCCATACCCAGCCCTTTCCGCAGCCGGACACTGGGGGACGTGCAAGGGGGCTGGTCACCGCAGGCCCTCGGGGTGCGGGGACCGAGTGCTCACGGCTGGTCCCCTCTCATCACGTCCCTCCAAAGAGAACGGGCCCTCTTGGAATTCATGAGAACAGAGCAAACTGGGTCCCTGAAAGTCGGGGTTTGTCGGGGTGTCTGTGTCTGCCACCTGCAGTTGACATTTGCAGATTGTGCCCTATAGCCACACAGGTGGGCAGGAGAAAGCACGTCGTCCCGTCTTCAGTCCCTGGCGCCTTCCTGCTGGCTAGTCCACGCCCGCGGCCCAGGCGGCCTTCTTGGCATTCAGGAAGTTCTTCTTCTTCCTGGGAGGAACGCGCAGCGAGACCTCCGGCTCCGCGGGATTTCTGAATATAAAGAGCTTCTCGCCCGTGTTCAATAAATCAATGGCTTCTGCCCCGACGATGGGCACGGGCACCAGGTCGCCGCTGGACTCCAGGGACAGGTGTGGCCAGCCCCCTTTCCCTGAGCACACCGTCCGCTCTCTGAGAGGGGGGCACGTCTTCCTCAGTATGCTGCAGACAGAACGGAAGATGACATGAGTGTCCTGGGAGCACCCCCTTCTCTGTCCCTAGGTCCCCAATAAAGTACCATTGTACAGAGAGGCTTTCTTGTTGGTCACCAGATGGCCCCTGAAACTGGCTGCAGACAACCTGACTGACTCACAACCGTTCCATTTTCAAGAGTTTCACCAGTTGCCATCCTGTTGTTCGCTTGAAGTCAGCCACGGTGGGAGTATTTACACCATGGAAATTGGCACATGCTACACAGAGAGCCCCTCTCCCCCTCCCAGGACACCCCTGCCTGTGGCCCTCACACTAAAAGCTGGCGGTAACACCTTATCACAAAGCAACAGAAGTTGGGGAAAAGGTGCCTGAAGGAGGAGAGAGGGACACGCTTTGGGAATGCGGCCCAGGGCGCCTTCACTCCCCCATCCTGATCCCACGCAATCGACTGTGTTCTCTGGTGGAGCCCTTCACAGTTGGAACAGCTCGAATCTCCTTTTCCCGGTTTGGGCTCAATATCCGGATCTAATGTCTCGGGGACTAAGTTCTGCTCTGCAGCCTACTGCCCACACCTCCAAGGTATTTCTCGGGTACAATTAGGGAGCGTGGTCTCAGCATCTGCACCGGGGCTGAGAAATTAGGGGAGTGGACACCCCTTGGATTCCCACTGTTCCCAGGGCCCACGCTGGAGACCACGTTCCAGCCCATCGTGAACTAGTCAGTGCTCCTTTTTCTCCGTCTCTTCTCCCGTGGGCATCACTGGAGACACTGGTCAACTGTTCGCAGCCATCTGCAGCCACTCCGCCCGCTCCCCTCTGCTCCCCGGGGGTGCGGGCACCAGTTAAAGGAGAAAGACACTTGGTAGAGAAGAAAGCACTGGCCTGGGAGTGTAGGGAGAGAAAGGGGCCAGTTAGATGTCCCAAGTCCCAGGGCCACTCCTTACAGCGCAGACCGGGGCCTCTTCATCTGAGCTCCCTGAGCTCTGGGGTCACCGTCCCCACTTCCCGGGAGGCTCAGTGCAATAAGACGGGCTTCGCCAACCATAAAGTCAACAGCTGTGAGGAGTTACCCTCCTTCTAATGGTATCCCATTAAAAAAGGTCTACTGGTGAAAAGACGTACAGTAATCCAAGTGCTAACGTAGGATAAGCGAACACCCCCCACTAGCTGGAGGCTCACCCTCAGCTCCTGGAGTAGGAGGAGACCGTGGTCTCCAGGAAGGATGGCCCCTTCTCGTCCGTGCCCCTTCCACCAGCTCCCAGGCTGCCCTCCGGCTCTCAGGCTGCCCTGGTCCCTGCCCCCCCCACCCCCTGCAGCAGGTGCCCGTCATTACCTCTCCTTCCTCCGGCGCGCCCACAGCATCTTGTCCAGGCCGCTGCTTCTCAGTTCTCCGCGCAGCCTGCTTTCCAAGGCCTGCCACCAGCCCTGGTGCTTCCTGAAGGCAAGAAGGAGCGTCTATGTTCTCAGGAAGAAGAGCCTCTCCCAGGGAGCCGTTACCCCGGCCTAAGGGGAAGGAGCCCACACTATAAGCCCAGTAATATCCCCCAGAGCACACGCACCTGGGGGATATTAGGCAGCTGGTAAAAATAATACCTATGAAGGTGTTTCAATAGCTGTGAAAAGCATGAATTTAAATTGTGAATAAAATAACAGAAAATATAGTCTAAGTAGTGTGTTAATCTATATATATATAGAAGCCTAAGTGACCATTTGACCGTTCGACTGGTAGCTATGACACGCACTGACCACCAGGGGGCAGACGCTCAACGCACAGTGGAAACATGGTGGAACAGGCTGATGAATCTCAGAGGGAAGCGGGGAGGGCGGGAAGAGAGTAACCAAAGATCTTATATGCATACTAGAGGCCCGGTGCATGGATTTGTGCACCGGTGGGGTCCCTCAGCTTAGCCTGTGGGGATCGGGCTGAAACCAGCAGTCCGACATCCCCCAAGGGGTCCTGGATTGCGAGAGGGTGGAGGCCAGGCCAAGGGACCCCACCAGTGCATGAATCCGTGCACCGCGCCTCTAGTTATTATATAAAGTGACTTTGCACATCAACCAGAGTTGGAAGAAAATAAGATCAGCTTCCGTCTGAGGTTCTGGGAAGCAAGAGGCAAGGCTGTGCACATGGGATTACTACACACACATACACATGCATGCACACATACACACACACACATGCATGTATGCAGACACATGTGCACACATGGACACACACAACCCAGCAGAGAAACACGTGAGGGAGGAAGAACTGCAGTCAAATCCCACCAGCCCTTTCCTCCGGCTGGTGGAGCCATGACTTTCCTGTTGTGTTTTTTACACTGTTTCTAGTATGTGTGTATTTTACATTGTCATTAACGTGTGTCCAGCATATCTACAGCCAAGAAACTTACTTTCTTTTTTTTTTTTTTGATTTCAGAGAGGAAGGGAGAGGGAGAGATAGATAGAAACATCAATGATGAGAGAGAATCATTGATTGGCTGCCTCCTACACGCCCCCTACTGGGGATTGAGCCTGCAACCCAGGCATGTGCCCTTGACTGGAATCGAACCCGGGACCCTTCAGTCCACAGGCCAACGCTCTATCCACTGAGCCAAACCACCGAGGGCAGAAACTTACTTTCTTAAGATCCTACTTGAAAAATAAATTGGTGACAGAAGGAGAAAGTGTGGACAAAACATGTGGGACCACCAGAACGGGAAAACGACCCATGACGACGGTCCTGGCAGCCCCTGCTCTGGGCAATGGCGTGCCGGCCAGGGAAGGCTGTGCCCTGAGCCCCGCGCCCCGCGCCCCGCACCCCACCCTCCATCTGTTCTCCTGACTCTTGCTCACTGCTCTCCAGGGGTGCCGGATGCTGACTCACCCCCTCCGGTCCAGGTCGGCCTGCTCCCCGCCACCATCATGCTCCGCCGCAGGGTCCGGCTGCTTCTGGCTGAGCGACTCCAGCAAGGCCAGCAGCTCAGGCTGTGGGGCTGCGGGCAGAGCCACGCTCAGGAGGCGGCGCAGCGTGCCCGCGGGCACCATCGTCAGCTTGGACAGGTACGAGGCCAGCCGCAGCTCCTAGGGGGTAAGGCAGCGGCTCAGGCCTCGGCTCCCAGGGGCTAAGGCAGCGGCTCAGGCCTCGGGGCTCAGCCTGATGAAAGGCAAGTTCTAATGGATCACAGGCTTAGGATGCCTCCTCCCAGGGAAATGCATAGCCCAGTAGCTCAGTCTTAGAAACTTGTCCCCAAATCGCAGAGCTGGTCACAGCCCTGGCTCCCCATGACATCTGCACAACCTTCGCCCATCCCTTCCAAGGACCCCCAGCTCACCCGCCGCTAACGCCCTGGCCTGCAGCAGCGACAATTACTAATGTCCCTTCTCCTACTCATGTTTGCGGAGCCGGGGTGGGGCCAGCACAGGCTCCAGAAACAACAGAAATGTCCCGAAACCACGGACAGTTAAAGAAACATGCTGTGGCCTCCACGGGAACAGCACCGGGCGGTGAGGAAGCGGGTGGATTTCGGGGCCGTGCACTGCGTGAAGAAAGCCAGGTTCCATGGGGCCGGCCTGTGTGACTCCCTGTGTGTGACATTCCAGAACTGAGGAGCGGCCACCAGGGCTGAGGGGTGGGTGTGCCTACCCAGGGCGGCACAGGCAGACCTTTGTGGCCCTGGGACAGTTCATCGTGGTGTTGGCTACGGGACTCCACATGTGACGATGACAGATTGTGTAGCAACGTCCTTGTCCTGGCCTGGGTGTTGTGTTGGGTTTGTGAGGTGCAGCCACTGGGAAAACTGAGGGAAATGTGGGAGGGGCACGGGAACCCTATGGGCTACCTTAGCAACTTCCTGCGAATCTAATATTATCTATACTAATAAAAGGGTAATATGCTAATTAGACTGGACATCTTCAGTACGTCCTTCTGGACAAAGCCATGGTGGCAAGAGCCAAGGCAGAGGCAGTTAGGGACGATCAGGCCAGCAGGGGAGGGCAGTTAGGAAATCAGCAGGCCAGCAGGGGAGGGCAGTTAGGGGGCAATCAGGCCAGCAGAGGAGGGCAGTTAGGGGTGATCAGGCCAGCAGGGGAGCAGTTAGGGGCATGAGGCCAGCAGGCAGAGTGATTAAGGGTGATCAGGCAGGCAGGCAGGCGAGCAGTTAGGAGCCAGTGGTCCCGGATTGCGAGAGGGATGTCGGACTGCCGGTTTAGGACCGATCCCATTGGTCCTAAACTGGCAGTCAGACATCCCCCAAGGAGTCCTGGATTGGAGAGGGTAGTGGCCCGGCTGAGGGACACCCCCTTCCCCCCCCCGCCCCACACCCTGTGCACGATTTTCATGCACTGGGCCTCTAGTTTCAAAATAAAAGGTTAAGAGGGAACAGGCTCTGCATCCCAAAAACCTGGGCCAGCCCTCAGCCCCCCACAGGAATCGCGCGTCCTCGGACAGCGTCCTTACTCTCCTCAGTGTGAACCTGGACAAGTGTCGCCTCTACAGGACCTGCCTGGAGGGGTGATGGCAGGACCGGCCCGACAGTGAGGTCCTGAGTGTCCAGTACTTGCTGGGTCCTGTCCCAGGGCAGGTGGCCCCTCCTTTAACCATCCCCCAGCTCTTCCCCCGGTTCCTGCTATCATCCCGGTCGTCAGGCGGGGAAAGGTGGGCTCTGAGCAAAGGGAGTGACGTGCTGGCAGGAAACGGAGCCAGAGCGCCGCCCACGCGCCCTACCTGGCTGTACAGGCCCATGAAGGCGTCCGCCTCCATGCGCTCCAGCAGGTCTTCGAGCATGACGCTGCGCTCCTGCTCCTCCCGCAGGCTGCAGGGAAGCGACACCCGCGTGAGCCGTTTTATTACAGAGTGACCCCGTGAGATTGCTGGTTATTTAATGAAGAAACGCCATCCAACCCACGCTGTACTGTGTCAAGTCCATGGAGACTGGGCCGGAGAGGAGGGGCTGCCTCTCCTCGCCCAGCCCGCTCCCCAGTGATGCACCCGAGGGCTCACCTCTGCTGCTGGCGCTCCAGGAGCTCCTGGCTCCGGCCCAGGGCCCGCCGCAGTGCCGCGGAGACCTGCCCTTTGGAATCCGCGTCCTCAGGCTCGGTCAGGAGCCCGGGCCCGTCCTCTGCCCACTGCTGCCGCCCGGCCAGGGCCCGCTGCCGTTGGGCCGCCTCCTGGTGGGCCAGCTCCTCCTCCAGCTTCCTCTCCAGCTCCTGGAGCTCCTGCAGGCAGAGGGGCAGGTGGTGAGCACAACGCAGTGGGGGGGGGGGCAGGGGGGGAGGACCGGAGAAAACCCCACCTGCTGGGCCTCCCCATCCAGCCCTAGCAAACAGTGCGATGAGGCTGCCCTAGATCTCACACCCCAGCCTTTGCACACGCTGCCCCCCCACCCCGACATGCAGAGCCTTCCTGTTTGCCTGGCTAATTCTGGGTCTTCCTTCCAGCCCTGGCTCAGGAAGAACCGGAGAAGGGGTCCCTCGGTGCCTCGAAACACAGATGCATCCTCACATGCCCACTCCCCACCCATGGGTATGCCTGTTATGGAACGAGTGCTCTGCCCCCTCAGAATCCAGGCTATGGAGCCCGAAGCCGCAATGGGGTGGGATCGGGAGGCGGGCCTTTGGGAGGTGAGCAGCTTCGCTGAGCTCACTGATGGCGGTGGGGCCCTGGGACGGGACTAGCGCCCTGTGAGAAGGGAGGAGACGGCGCTCTCTCTCCGCCCGCGTGTGCAGGCGTAAGGAGGCAGCGGGCTGCAACCGGGAGAGGGCCGGCACCACACACAGAATCTCCGGCACCTGATCCGGACTCCAGCCTCCAGAACCGGGAGAAGCACAGGCCTGCTGTTTGAGCCACAAATCAAGGGTGTTTTGTCACAGCAGCCAGAGCTGACGAAGACAATGCCCCATTTTTTGCTGTCGCCTGAAATCACTGCTGTGGACCTTCTGCCAGAACGTGAGCTGGGCCTGCATCTCCGTCGGCAGCCCTGGGCACCGTGCCCGGCAGCGGGCACCCACCACGGATGGAGGCTGTGCCGAGCGCAGCAGCCACGCTGGCACCGTGTGCTCGGATGCGGGCCCTGCCGAGAGCTTTGCGTGAATTCCTCACTGAGTCCTACAGCCACCTACGCAGCGCACACTCATTCTCTTTCACAGACGAGGCCACTGAGGCCCCGAGAGCTCCCGTCATCTGCCAGGTCATGGACCTTCAGTGTCAGAGTAGAATCGGAGGCCAGAGGTGGCTCCAGGTTTGTGTCCTTCACCACCAGGCCGCCCTGCCTCTCACTGACCACACAGAAGGGGGCTGCACCCTTAGCCACTGGAGCCAGGCGCTCTGGGTGCGAGACGGCCCACTGCCGGGTAAGGTGGGCAAAGGGGGTGTGGGCAGGGGGTCCCAGCCTCCCAGCTGCAGGCAGACCGAACCCATTGCCCACAGCTGGCCAGCCTCTCGGTGGGTGGGGGGAGGGGGGGCCAATCCGGGAGGCCTTGGATGGGCTTCCTGAAGGGACGTGGCCCTCGGTCCCCACACGTGTACACGATGGGCCACCTCTCTGCAGAGGAGCCGCTGCGTCCACTTCTCTGTCTCAAAGCCCCACAGAACCAAGACGGCCAGAGAAGTAAACGGAGGTCACAGTGCGGCACGTGCTGCTTGGGTGTCACCCTCAGGACCATGGGAGCCTTCGGACATTTCTGAGCAGGAGGGTCAGGCGCACAGAGATGTCTAACCACATCTCCTGCAGTGGCGCCCACCCGCGGGGCCTAGCAGCTGCTCCCTGGGCACCCGGGCAGTCACCGACCCGCCCTCCAGAGACAGGAGTCACGGGGGCGGGGGGTGGGGGAGCAGCCGGGCAGAGGACCCTCAGGGCTGACCTGTCCAGTGCTCAGAAGCAGCCGGAAGGTCCAGGGGGCTCTAACTAAGGGTCTGAAGGAGGG